TTTGAATATGTGAATATTTTTAATTTTTTGAATATTTTTTCAAACTTACAAATATATTTTCCAAAATTGAGGACATTTTTCTAAATTTTTCAGAAGACTTCATGAACATTTATTTCACATGCATGATTTTTTCTAAGTAGCAAAATTTTTTCATATTCACAAACATTTTTCAAATTCATGATTTAAAAAAATAATGATTAGTATCTTTGAATTTAATGAATAATTTCTGAATTCGTGAGAATTTTTTTATTTCAATAACCTTTTGAAATTCAGGAACATTTTTTATATTTATGCGCACTTTAAAGTACATAAGTATTTTTAAATCTATGACTCTTTTGAAGTCCAGGAACATTTTTAAATTCATGAACATTTTCTAAATGCATGTATATTTTTAAAATTTATTAACTTTTTTGAAGTTTGTAGAAGTTCATGAACATATTTTAAATGCATGAATGTCTCGGCGTTATAGCGCGGCCATAGTGTTTGGAGTAGCCTCGTGCTAAATGCATCGTTTAGAATTTAGAGCCAAATGTAGAATGCCATAGCCCACTATTTAGAACTATGAACAATCGCATGGCTTTGAAGAGAAACACGCACCATTCTTGATGTGTAAGCTTGAGAAGGCCTTGCATGGGCTTCCACATGTTGTCGGGGGATGATTTTGCCGTTTATTTAGCTCAAAGCTTCAAGTTCTTATATTTCTCCAAAGTCTGATACTTAACTATTCATCTATAATAACTCTAGAATGATTTATTTTTGTGCTTATTTATGTTAATGGCATAATATTCACTATCTCATCAAATTTATAAGTAACAACATTGTTAAAATATCCATGCACACACATTGCCATGAAGGACTTGGGAGATTTACATTTTCCCGAGGAATTGAAGTTAAGAAGACTGACGGTGGTATAGTACTATCACAAGAAAAAAAAATGCAACCTAGTGTTTGACTCGCATTGAAAAGTTGTTGGTGCTTGATGGCGAACCCTTGGGACAAAACGATAGGACGATATACATGAGCATAGTTGGCAGGGGCGGAGCTGGGCCCCGGGCAGCCAGGGCCCAGGCCCGGGGCGTGCAAAATTTAACAGACTACAATTATATAGCTTTTTCTACAGGCCCGGGGTGCAGCCCAGTAAACAAAAGAAAGCCCAAAGCCTTGATGGGCTGTCTTACGTGAAACGGACGCACGAACGAGGCAAGGCTACCCCACGATCTACTCGCACGCACGAGGCAGAGGAACGTTTCGTAAAAAAAAAGAGGCAAAGGAACGCAGTGCTGTTGCTGGAAAAAAGGAGACGCAACGCTCGTGCGGCCGCCGCCGAGTCACGCACAGGATCGTCCAGCGCTCGCGCCGTCGGCGATGCCTCCGACCCCCGACCCCCTCCCCACTTCCCCCTGCTCCCTGGCGCTGCCCTTCTGTCCTGTGCGTCGTTCGCCCGGGCGCGCCATCCCCTGCTGGTTGCTTCACTGCCGGGTGCCGCACCTTGTATTTTTCTTTGATGTTTTCTCTGTTCCCCCTGATGCTTTTCACTTGTACCATGTTCTACTTATATCAGTGTATATCTATCTTTAATTTAACTGAAATTTAATTGAAATAGTGTGTGTATATCTATCCAGTCATATATCTAGGGTATTGTTGAACTCAAATTGATGTAGTTGCTAATTTCATTTCATATTGTAGAAAAATAAGATGAAGAGATTTTTTTTTCATCTGTCTAGGGTATATTGCTTACAGGTCTGCAAAGATCTTTTACCTCGTTGAAGTGGTAAGTTTTTATATTGTTATCAGTGATAATTGTTTTACTTGATGTTTATGCCTTCTCTTATGAAATTTTGCTTTTCATGTCTTGAAGGTGTTGGCTCTTCTTCCATCGTTGATGAGGTTATGTGAGGCACAGATGAAGCAAACCATTGATTCGGTACACATTTTCATCATGTACTGTTCTTTGTAGTTTTTGCTATGTTTTTATTCATTTTGTTGTATCGTTAAGCATAGAGTTTAAATTCTAAAATTTTAGTGCGATTGGGCCTTATTTTGTATGGGTATCTTTTGAGGTAACTAAAAGCCTTATGTACGTTAAGTTTTTCCCTCGCGGCAAAAACTATTTTGTGCCCGGGGTTTGCCCAAATCCTGGCTCCGCCACTGATAGTTGGTGCACTTCATTACTCGACTCTCACTAGACATGATGTCCATTTTGTTGTAAGTGAAGTGTGCTAGTTCATTGGATATATGCAAATCTTATTTTGTGGTATGTCAAGAACACATTGAGCATATGCAGACCTCACGTTTCAAGCCAGGACCAAGCACATTGAAGTAGAATTTTACTTTGTGAGAGAAAACGTAGCACCATGGCCTAAATTCGCTCGATGGCCGACCCAGTTATGGGGTGGTCCACTGGACATAACACCCATCTTACACTTTCGTCATCGCTTCTTCTAAAAATGTTAACATGAAGGTGCAATTAATGGTAGGACCAGAACTGTGTTTGAACTCTCAATGTGAGACTAAACCTACCACCCAACTCCACTTGGGCCAAATGGATCTCCACTAACGGGACGGAGTATCACAAAGGATCGCCAACAAGTTCCTAGACATTTGATTGACTTTATAAAACATTGCCCACACAGGAAGTTCGAAAGAACTCAAACGTGATGTCAACATGACTATAAAACATTGCCCATGCGAGAAGCTTGAAAGAACTCATACGTGATCTCAAGTTGTAATAAATGGAGTAAAAATACATGGATGAATCCAGGTACATATCCATTCAGAAAAAACATTTTTAGATGTCAAACAATCTGGAAAAAAAGTTGCATGCATACATTTCCAAGTCCTATGTGTGCACATAATTTTTTACGGAAAAACAACATTTTCTGGCATGTGCCAAAGAGGCAAAAAAATGTACGTTATGGAATGCTATTTATAAGCACTGGAAATTTTATTTTTTGCGGAGGCAAATTAAAAGAAACAATTTTTTTTGTAAAACTTTTGTGCCGCACAAATATTGTACGGAAGATGTATGCATGAAATTTTGTTTTTATTTTTTTGACATTTTATAACTCGTTTAAAATACACTTCTAAAAATTGGGTGCAGATGTACTTGGGTTAAGGACGTCCTCACTATAAAAGGAGCCTACTATAGTTTTAACTATTGAGTCGCTCTAAACATGCTGGATTAGCTCGAGTGCGCGCGCGCGTATTGGTTGGGATCATGCCGATCCAGTTGTTAGCTTTCCTTGTTACATTTCTTTTTATTTTGAACATAGTATAGACACAAGTGATCATATATATGCGCATACACTCAATCTTATCAGGGCCGGCCCTGAAGGGGGCCAGACCAGGTCTTGTGTGGTAGCCTGGTGGGCCACACCAGGCTAGTTGGAACAATTGAGTTAGCAGTGCCTTTACTTTTTCTAAATAACCAATTCATTTTCTCGAAGATGGAGGTGGGTCACACAGTCAGCTACAATTCAAAAATACTGGTTCAGCAGAATTAGCAACCCCATTTTCAATCTAGTTGGAGCAATCTCTTTTGTATAGGATGGAATCAACGACCAATTGATCCTAAAAGATTAATACTAATTCATATATTTTTAATAGTTTATTTCATATTGAAATTGAATTATTCTAATGATGTTATTTAGTGACGTCCGTGTTATATATCCAACCTTGGCTTTAGTATGCTAATATAGGATCATTCTATTATTATTATTATTATTATTATTATTATTATTATTATTATTATTATTATTATTATTATTATTATTATTATTATTATTATTATTATTATCAAGTTGATTATAAATTTGAAGTCATAAATTTTCTTTGCTAGCTATCGGTTTCACCGTACCAAAAGTTCGGTTTATCCTGCATCATCAGTAACCTAATTTGGCTTATAAGATGGTACCCACATTTTGGATTGATAACATGTGTGATCTTCAATGACCAATGCTCGATCTAGTACAATCGATGCTTGATCTTCCGTGCATCTTGGTCGAAGACGCCCCATCGTCACCCCCACACCGCCGAGGTAAGAGGCTGAGTGACAAAGAGGACCACATCACGCCCATTGTTGATTGTGACCGCCAAATTTTACATAGGGTATGTCTCTTGTTCTGTTTCCACAAATAGCAACATCATTGGTGACTTTGCGTCTAAGAATGTTAAAAACATCAAATAATATTTATAAATTACTTAACATGGATATGCTTTTTGATGCACTTAGTTGTTCATTTAGAAAATTCTATATACATATATATTCATTATCTTGATGATTATATTAGAAGGCCCATATTCTAGATTCGCCCTGGGCCCCCGAAATCTTAGGACCCGGCCTAAATCTTATGAACGCACACATGCACACCCTATCCCTATGAGTATGTTCAATAGACTGAGCCGACATATCATCTTGAGATTTTACAAAGTCATTGTAGGCGTCTCGTATAGTCAACGGAGATGGCTCCTCCAGTTGAACGCGTATCTCCGGAAATCCTGAAGTAAATGCATGATAAATGCGAACACCAAAACTTAACTCTGATGAACTAGGGATACCACTTCCTCCTTATTACTCTCCTTGATATTTGAAATCAGGTGCGTAACCAACACGATTGAGATAATTAAGCCCCAACTTATTATTAACAAAACAGACATGGCCCCCGAGACGGACAGGTTGAGACGCTTCCATCACACTCCAGAGGAGCTAATTAGGAAATGATCGAGGGAGTATCCCAACGAGTTGTACGTGCAGCGGCAAGAGTGTGATATGAAAAGCGTAAGCTGGCGCCCCCTGCTTGTGTAAGGGAAATCACGCATTTCCCTAAACAAACCCCGCGCGCGAATCCTCGTGCTGGCATCACGTATCCATCCATCCATCCATCCATATCAATCCCACTATCAATGCGCTCAATTAATCCCTCGATCCGATCCAAATCCATCCAAGTAATGCTCACGTTTTCTCTTCTCCATCTCTATAATTAAGCCCAACGCTATACCATATGGATCCATATCTCCATCAGCAATCAGGCACTCCTCCCCCATTCCTGACAAAATCCATGGAGGCCAGCGCGGCGGAGAAGGCTCCGGCGACGGCGAGCGGTGGTACACGGCGGGTGCTGCTGTTCCCGCTGCCGTTCCAGGGCCACCTGAACCCGATGCTGCAGCTGGCCGACGTGCTGCACGCCCGGGGCCTCCGCGTCACCGTCTTCCACGCCGCCTTCAACGTACCGGACCCCGTTAATATGTTTAAATTATGAAAACATTTAATATGTTTTAGTTATGTTAATATTTAAAACTACATGTACATTTATTTATTATTGTGATTATAGTTTAATGTATTTATTTTTGTAATATATAAAAAAGGAAAAACAACTAATATTTGAAAAATGGGCCGTACTGTCAGTGGCCCTTTAACTCCATGGGCGCCTAACTAAATAAATAATGTTCCATAGTTGACTGGAAACTTATCTGGCTGAGGAGGTTAGCGCAGTTAATCCTCTACGCGAGGTAACCGGTTCGAATTTTTGTTGCGCCCTATCTTTTGTTTATTTCTCAAGTACATTGACAGGTGGAACCGGATGATCATTGAGACATATACACTATATGTCAGTGACACTGCATGTGGGTCTCGCGCCAGTTTGTTTATTTCTCAAGTACACTGACAGGTGGAACCGGATCATCATTGAGACATATACACTATATGTCAGTGACACTGCATGTGGGTCTCGCACCAGTTTGTTTATTTCTCAAGTACACTGACAGGTGGAACCGGATCATCATTGAGACATATACACTACATGTCAGTCTGTCCTGACACTGCATGTTGGTCTCGCACCACGCTGGCATGTCCAGTCAGTAATACATATGTATCTAGACGTGATTTAAACTGTATATACACCGTACTACCAAGTTTTAGGACCAACTCGGTGTATTTTTCAAGTTCAAGCACCAAAGTGAACGTCGATGACAAGTTTAAACACCACTGGTGTTATTATCTCTAAAATTTACTTTGCTATCGGTTTCACCATACCAAAAGTTCGGTTTATCCTGCATCATCAGTAGCCTAATTTGGCTTATAAGATGGTACCCACATTTTGGATTTATAACATGTCTGATCTTCAATGACCAATGCTTGATCTAGTACCACCGATGCTTGATCTTCCGTGCATCTAGGTTGAAGACGCCCCATTGTCACCCCCACACCGCCGAGTTAAGACGCCGAGTGACAAAGAGGAGACGACATCACGCCCACTGGTTATTGTGACCGCCAAATTTTACATAGGGTATGTCTCTTATTCTCTTTCCACAAATAGCAACATCATTGGTGACTTTGCATCTAAGAATGTTAAAAACATCAAATAATATTTATAAATTACCTAACATGGATATGAATTTTGATGCAATTAGTTGTTCATTTATAACATTCTATATAGATATATATTCGTTATCTTGATGATTATATTAAAGGGCCCATATCCTAGATTCGCCTCGGGCCACCGAAATCTCAGGACCGAGCCTGAATCTTATGAACGCACACATGCACACTCTATCCCTATGAGGACCTTCGATAGACTGAGCCGGCATATCATTTTGAGATTTTACAAAGTCATTGTAGGCGTCTCGTAGTCAACGAAAATGGCTCCTCCTACTGAAAACGTATCACCGGAAATCGTGAAGTAAATGTTGCATAAATGCAAACACCAAGACTTTACCCTGGTGAACTAGGGATGCCACTTCCTCCATATTACTCTCCTTGATATTTGAAATCAAGTGCGTAACCAACACGACTGAGAAAATTAGGCCCCAACTTATTACTCACTCCGTTTCAGTTTACAAGTCCTATGCGTATACCTAGGTTGCCAATTTTATCACTCTAATATAAACTATATAACGCAAAATTATACCGTCTGAAAATAGAAGATCTGAAGTTTATATTGATATATTTTTCGTAATACATCAGTTGTACTCCCTCCATCTAGGTGAGTAAGTCATCTTAGGTTGTGCACCGTGACCAAGGCAGACGAAAAAACAAGAGAAGTTAATGTTCATTTGCTAATTAATAGCATTGCATGCAATGAACTGATCACTGCATGTCGTGTTTGGTAGTCTCAAGTCATTGAAAGCAGACACATCCCATATCTCTTATTGGTTGATTCCTTTATTTATATCAAGAAATAAAAAACGAGGTGGGAGTTAATGCACCGTGCCTAAGTGTTTTGGGATTATTTGGTTTTCGTAAAATGACTTATTCATCTAGACGGAGGGAATATTAGGTTGACCAAATTGACGACCTAAGGATACCTGCACATTCTGTAAACTGATAGAGATGGAGTATTAACAGAACCGACATGGCCCCCGATCGAGACGGACGGGTTGAGACGCTTCCATCACACTCTAGAGGAGCTAATAAAGAAACGATCGAGGCGAGGGAGTATCCCAACGAGTAGTGCGTGCAGCGGCAACAGTGTGATATGAAAACCGCGAACTTGTGCCCCTTGTTTTGTAAGGGAAATCACGCATTTCCCTAAACAAACTCCGCACGCGAATCCTCATGCTGGCATCCCGTATCCGTCCAACCATCCAAATAATGCGCTCATTAATCCCTCGATCCTTTTTTATGTCGATCCAAATCGCCTAGATTAGGGAAATGACACATTTCCCTTAACAAACACCTAATCGAATCCTCGTGCTGGCATCCCGTATCCATCCATCCATCTTCTCTCCCGCTCTAACCGATTCATTGCGCTCATTAATCCCTCGATTCTCTTTTATTTGGATCCAATCCAATCCAAATCCATCCAAATAATGATCACGTTTTATCATCTCTACTCTATTATAAAGCCCAACGCCATACCATTTGGATCCATATCTCCATCAGCAATCAGGCAGTCCTCCCCCATTCCTGACAAAATCCATGGAGGCCAGCGCGGCGGAGAAGGCTCCGGTGACGGCGAGCGGTGGCGCCCGGCGGGTGCTGCTGTTCCCGCTGCCGTTCCAGGGCCACCTGAACCCGATGCTGCAGCTGGCGGACGTGCTGCACGCCCGGGGCCTCCGCGTCACCGTCTTCCACGCCGCCTTCAACGCACCGGACCGCGTGGCAGGGTACCACTTCGTGCCCGTCGGCGCCGGCGTGCCGACGGCCGACCTCGTCCCCACCGGCAGCAACGCCGACTTCGCCGGGGCGCTGCTGCGCATCAACGAGCGCCTGCAGGGGCCTTTCGAGGACAGCCTCCGCGAGGTGCTGCAGGAGGAGGAGGACCATGAGGGAGCGCGGCCGGCGTGCCTCGTGCTGGACTCTAACCTCCGGAGCATGCAGGTGGTCGCGGACCGGCTCGGCGTGCCGACGCTAGTGCTGCGCACGGGTGGCGCCGCCTGCCTCGTGGCCTACATGGCCTTCCCGGCGCTCTGCGACAAGGGCCTCCTCCCGCCACAAGGTACAAACCTGCCTCTACCTGACAAATAAACACAGAAGTTGACACTACTTTCTACTGATAGACAAACAGTTAACAGTTAGCACCGCTGTCTGC